ATTATTTCTATGACGTGTGCGCTTGACATTTGACTTTCAGAGTTTTTAATGACATTTGCGTAATTCTTTGCTTTGGTAAAGTAATCGCTTTTCCTGTAGCCTCCCTTTCCGTTTCTTGTTCATTAAACAAAACTGCGTAAGCGAAGTAGAGAAAATTGGGAAGCGGGAGAGGGGAGTGGAATAAGAGGGAAGAGGAACGAGGGAGCGGTAAGAGGAGGAAAGAGGAGAAGGAAATGAGGCGGAGGAGGGAGGAGGAGAGTGTGTAGAATGACATCTTGTGAAAGACTCCGCAGTTCGAGGAAATGGAGAGGCTCGCTTCCCTGCGATTCAATGGCATCTTTATAATCAAATCAATCGACGTTAACCCTTTCTCATACCTCCTCTATCATCCTATTATTCACCCTCCCTTTCCCTCGATATTCTGTCCAATCCTCTGCCCATTCCTGTTCCCCTAAAGAAAGGGCATACACACACACACATACACACGCACACACTGTGACGGCATTCTTCATCACAAGACAATTAACAATTAATTTTACATCCACCTGCGCCAGAACAACACAGCACGAACCCTCACTTTATGTTCTAGCGACCGTCTGCCACGAGGGCCAGGGTCATTCTCGCCCCTCTGCCTCCTCAGCCGAAGGGTCAATCTACCGTGACCGCGGCTGAGGTCACGGCCTCTCGCACCCAGCCGCATGTACGCTGCCTCACTATTGCAGTGTGTGAAGGAGCCACAAAAGGAAGGCTGGCGAAATCAACTCATCCTCCTTACCCCGCAGGCTTTGGGTGCCAAGGACTTTCGATTTTGGACGGACGAAATGCGGGGACACGTCCAATCTAGGGGCCTGGGCTATTTCCGTCGCGTCGCTCTCTCTCTCTCTCTCTCTGTTTCTCTTTCGCTCTTTCTCTCTCTCTCTCTCTCTCTCTCTCTCTCTCTCTCTCTCTCTCTCTCTCTCTCTCTCTCTGTATTTCTCTCTCTCTCTGTTTTTTTTTTTCTCTCTCTCTCTCTCACTTACCCAGTCACTTGTTCTTTCACTTACTCACTCACTTTCACTCTCTTTACCTATTCTCACTTTGCCTGGACTTTTCCTCCTCAATTTCTCCCTAGCTTCCTCCTTCTCTCTTTCCACCTCTATCTCTCACTCTCCTCCCCACCCTCTAGATCTCCATCTCTATCTCTCACTCTCCTCCCCACCCTCTCGATCTCCATCTCTATCTCTATCTCTCTCTCTCTCTATCCTCCCCCTTACCTCCTCTTCCCCCTCCTCTACCTCTACCTCTCCCCCTCCCCTCCCCTTCCTCCCCTCCCCCTCCCCCTTCCCCTTCCCCTCCCCTCCCTCTCCCGTTCTCACCAGGCCCATTCGCAACTGCCCCGTCCAGGCCGCCTGTGTTTCCGTAATGAGCTGTCGATCACCGGACCCGCATTCTTTCCCACCTCGCGAAAAGTGAACCCGTTAAATAATCCCGATAATAGCAGCTCTCCCTTCCCCCATTCTTTCTTTCCCATTTCCTCTCGTTTTTCCCTTTGTCACATTCCTCTCCCTTCCTCATCCTCCTCTCTCTCTCTCTCCTCGACTTCCTTTTTTCTTTGCTGTAGCTAACCCGTTCCCACCATCCTCCTCCGCTTTTTTCCCCCTTCCCCTTCGTCCTCTCTGTCCTCTCATCTCCTCATTCCTCTCTCCTCCTTTCCTTCTCCCACTCCCCTCTCCCCTCCTCTCCTTCTCCCACTCCTCTTCTCCTCCCCTCCTCCCCCTCTCCCATCCTACCCCCACCCCCTCCCCTTACTCCTTCTTTTCTGACCCCGCCTCTTTTCTCCTTTCCCCACCCCTCTCCTCCCCCCCTCTCCGCCCACTTCCTGAAATCCCAGCACCTGAGTCGGCTGGCGTCGGCCGGAGCCCCGGGTGGCAGAGGAGCAGCCCCGAAGCCATGATGGATGGGCCTCGCCAAGCAGAGCGACGGGATCCGCTGCATTCTGGCGATCCGGGAATTAATAACTTTTTCTTGGCGTGAGGAGGTTAAGACGAGATGCTGCTTCTGTTGTGTGTGTGTGTGTGTGTGTGTGTGTGTGTGTGTGTGTGTGTGTGTGTGTGTGTGTGTGTGTGTGTGCGTGTGCGTGTGCGTGTGCGTGTGCGTGTGCGTGTGCGTGTGCGTGTGCGTGTGCGTGTGCGTGTGCGTGTGCGTGTGCGCGTGTACGTGTGTGCGTGTACGTGTGTGCGTGCGTTTAACAGAGTCTGTATATTCTCCGATATGTTCACAGGAATGTGCTTTTGACCGAATCCGCAGCAAATACCCACTCGCACCCGCACGGCCATCCGCCTCCCGCCCGACCCGAGCCAACCTCACGAGTGATCCCGCCAGTGAGCCTTGGCCACGGGAGAGAAAGTCAGGGTCACTGCAGTGGTCAGACTTTTGTGTGTCAGAGGGATGAAGTGGCGAGGAGGCCGGGGGAAGGGGAGGGGAAGAGAAGAGGGGAAGAGGAGGAGGAGGAGGGGGAGGG